CTTAAAACTGCAGTAAGACACCCTATATATAAAGAGCCTATTAAAGACATTATTAAATAAATAATTAATAACAATTAAGTAATAATATTATTAAAGAGCAGTTAGCAGATACATTTATTGAGTATCTGTTGGATGCAGAATATGCACTAAGGGATAGAAAAAAAATAGAAAACATAATCTTTGTCTGATAATCTAGCCTTAAGAGACAGGATGCATATGCTTAGAGAATCTAGAACCAGATTATCCAGTCTAGCCCTTTCGTGGATGAGGAAACCGAGGCTCAAAGAGATTAAGTGACCAGCCCAACATTAGTAAGCAGTAAGTCTGGAATTCAAACCCAGGTCCTTCAAATCTAGGGCACTCCTCTGCTCTCACATTGGTAAAATTATGCAAGTCTGGAACCAAGCAACAAAGTATAGGTTGAAAGGGAATCAGAATAAGAAAGGGATCAGCCTGGAATCATCTGGGGAAAGATTCCTAAATGAGGTGGATTTTGAGGTGGGTCTCAAAGGAAGTTGAGAGGAAGATGGATTTTCAGGGTAAAGGAAAGAGAACATTCCAAGAGTGGTGACTGATGGGTGTCTTAGTTAAGTCCTCCTGCCTCTTCTGATCCACTGCACCCTTGTCTTATTTCTCCCTCTCCCAATATCACCCTTCCACTTGTCAGCTTAATGATGGACAGTTCACAGCCATCCAGCTGGTGGGCATGCTGCGGGGCATCGCTTCAGGCATGCGATACTTAGCAGAGATGAGCTATGTGCATCGAGATCTAGCTGCCCGAAACATTCTGGTCAACAGCAACTTGGTCTGCAAGGTTTCTGACTTCGGCCTCTCCCGATTCCTGGAGGAGAACTCCTCTGACCCCACCTACACCAGCTCCCTGGTAGGTATAAGGAAGAGTCGAGGGAGGTGGGATGCCTGGGTATCTGGGGCGAGAAGGGGAGGGAATGAGGGCCAGGAAAAAGACATGGGGCCAAAGACTGAGGGATTTGATATTTAGGTTCAGGGGAAGGACTAGGAGCTGTGAGACACCTGGAAAGATGGAGAACAGATCACCTGGGTCTCTTGGTGAAGGAATATGGGCTGCCTGTGTGGATGTGGTTAGGGTTTAAAATTAGGGTTAGAATTGAAGTTAGGGAGCAGGTAACCTTGATGACAGGCAACAATTCACATTTTTGTAGTGTTTTAAAAGTTAACAGAGCACTTTCCTCATAACAACCCTGTAAGGTAACTAGTGTAAGTATTAGCAGCCCCATTTTACAGATAAGAAAACTGAGGCTCATAGAAGTATCACACGGACATATGCCAGAGCCTGAATTTTAACCAGGATTTCTAGGCTCCAAGTTCAGTTTTTTCTCCCAAACTCTTCTTCCACATTGCCTCTCTAAGAAGCCTAGGACTGAAGTTGAATGTCTGGGTTGTAGAAAGTAAGTCAGAGTTAGGTAGTAAGAGCTGGAGTTGGAGCCATCTCTCATGTTGCCCTTCTCATTCTTTTGTTCAGGGTGGCAAGATCCCCATCCGTTGGACAGCCCCTGAGGCCATTGCCTTCCGGAAATTCACATCAGCCAGCGATGCTTGGAGTTATGGGATTGTGATGTGGGAGGTCATGTCATTTGGGGAACGTCCATATTGGGACATGAGCAATCAAGATGTAAGTCCGTTTCCTCAAGATGTTCCCATTGGATATGTCTTACATGCCCTAAAATACATTATACAGAATTCTTCTGGAGATTTTCAATGTGATCTTTCCCTCCACCCTACAGCCATCTATCCGTCATTATTAAGCTGGGAGGGAAGAGAATTTTCAGAATGGTCTCTGCTGAAAAGAGGTGGGGTAGGTAGGAAGACATCTATGGTGTTAGGGATAGGATTGAATCTTCAGAGGTCCATAGGATTTAGAACTGAAAGGGACCTTAGCAATTATATAATCCAACCCTCTCATTTTACAGATGAGTAAACTGAGCCCCAGAGAAGTTAAGTTACTTGCCTAAAGTCATAAAAGTAGTAACAGAACCAGAATTCAAACCCGGGGATTGAACTGCATGGCTCCAAATGCACCACTCTTTCCTTTAGGGAAACAGAGGCTGGAGTGTAGGGTAAGAAAGGCTTTATATCTGGACCACAGTTCAAAGGCCATAGGAGGCATTTGAAGGGTTTCCCTCCATATCTATACTCGTCCCAAACAGTACACATAGATTGCTCATACATGACCATGTTCCCTCAATCTGCTGTGACAAATCTTCCTTCAAAATATTCACTGTTTTGATGTAATGATAAAAAAAAAATAATCAAAATATTCACTGTTCACCAGACCTCACTACTTCCTGACCATTTTTTTCCCCTCCTACCTGTCAGGTCATCAACGCCATTGAGCAAGACTACCGGCTACCCCCACCCTCGGACTGTCCCACCTCCTTGCACCAGCTCATGCTGGACTGCTGGCAGAAGGACCGAAATGCACGACCTCGCTTCCCCCAGGTGGTCAGTGCCCTTGACAAGCTGATTCGTAACCCTGCCAGCCTCAAAATTGTGGCCCGGGAGAATGGAGGGTGAGAACTCTGGTCTTCTATGGGTCTACCATCTGACATTCTACATGACTACTGGAGAACCTCCCTCCTCCAGAAAGATGCTTTGCTGATGTTGTATGGAACCATTCTCTGTCTACCTCCCGATACCTGGCCATTCGGCAATGTTCTATCATGCTATCCTCTGCTCCTTCCCTTTCCTTACTCCCAGTGCTAATAGTGCTCGGCCTTACATACCTCTCCTTTGCCCCACAGGGCCTCCCATCCTCTCCTGGATCAGCGGTTGCCTCATTTCTCAGCCTTTGGCTCAGTGGGTGAGTGGCTTCGGGCGATCAAGATGGGTCGATATGAAGAGAGCTTTGCAGCTGCTGGGTTTGGCTCCTTTGAGCTGGTCAGCCAGATCTCGGCAGAGTGAGTTGTGGGCCTGTGTGGGGAAGCAACAACTAGGGGAGGAATGGGGGAATGGAGGCATTGGGGAACCAGAAGAGTGTCAGAGGATTTGGGTAGAGTTCTTTGTAATTGACCTGTATGTAGTATTAGCTTTCCTTTTTGAGTAGAGATGATTGCTTTAACAGCAAGAACAACCTGACAATAGCATTGATAAAATCAAGCACATTGAGAGCTCCAGCCAACCCTGTGATTAAAAAAAAGATTCCAAAATCCTTAAAATCTGAACATCTAAGAATCATGGAGGAAATAACTTTAAGTGATTAATGATTTTTCACCTGCTCCTGTCTCCTTTCTAACTTGAGCTATTTTTGTTCCATTTAAATTTCTTCCCTGAATGTACGTTCTCCTTTTTCCTGGCTCCATCTTTCTTTTTCTCTTCTTTCCTCCTCTATGTCCCCCTTTCCCCCTGTTTCTCACCCTTTTCTTCTGTCCCTAGAGGAGGATGAGCAGGATGGTGAGGGGATTCAAACCCCAGGGCATTCAAAGAATGTTAGGGATATCTAGTCTTAAGAAGAGGAGACTTGTGGTGAGAGAGGTGGTATGATAGCAGCCTCCAAGTATTTGAAGGGCTGTCATGCAAAAGAGGATCTAGTTCAACTTGTTCTTCCTGGTCCCAGGAGGCAGGATTAGGATAAAAGGATGGAAGTTTCCAGGAGGGGCAGACTTGGAAGAACTTCTCAACAATTGGGGCTGTCCTTGGTGGAATGGGAGGTAGTGAGTTTTCCGTCCCTGGAGAAGTCAGAACCATGAAGAGGATTCATATTTTGGAGAAAGATTGGACAGGATGACCTCTGAAGCCCTTCTGTGCCTTAAGGACCCAGTACTCTGCTCCCTTTCTCTTTGTTCCCCATTTCTCCCTTCCCTTCCCCATTCCTTCTCCACAGTCTCTCTTCAGTTTAGGTCATAGGTCCAGCCGCCTTCATTTTATAGATGAGAAAACAAATTGTCGGAGAGGGTCATATCACTACTGGAAGAGCTGGAACAAGAACCTGTCTCTACTTTCTTTTACCTGCCTCTGCTTCACTCTTCTTCCCTATCTCTTCTCTCCTCTCTGAGAAGGCGCTTTCATTTTCTATCTTAGCTTCAGTTCTCCCCTTCCATCTTCTCTCTTAGTCCCCAGTAGAATCAGGCAAATCTGTCTTTGTTGGTCTTTGGTCAGTGAGCATTTAATTTTTTTTTTTTTGGTGAGGCAATTGGGATTAAGTGACTTGCCCAAAGTCACACAGCTAGTGAGTGTTATGTGTCTGAGGCTGGATTTGAACTCAGGTCCTCCTGACGTCAGGGCTGGTTCTCTATCCACTGTGCCACCTAGCTGCCCCAACAGTGAGCATTTATTAAGTGCTGCTCTGTGCCAGGGACTGTGTTAAATGCAGTTGATTTTCTTTTTCCATCTGTTCTCTTCCCTTAGTTTTTTTTTTTTTACCATCAGCTCCTTCCTGTTGTCCCCTTCTCCCTCCACTACTTTATGTGTGTGTCTCTCTCCTCTTTATTTTGGCCATGAGAAGCAGTGTGGTATAATGGAAAGAGCCCCAGATTTAGCATCAGAAGGCTCCAGGTGAAAATACTAGTTCACCCACTCATTACCTCTTTGACAAGTCCCTTCCTCTCTCTAGGCCTCAGTTTCCTTATTTGTAAAATGAGGAGGTTGCACTGGATTATTATCCAGTGTTTGCTCATGCAATGCTTCCACCCATTCCACTTTTCTAGGGACTCCCTCAGATATTGGACTTCTCTTTAACCCTACCTTCTCACCCCTGGAGTCAGGAAGACTGGAGTTCGAATCTAGCCTCAGATATTTACTAGCTGTATAGCCATAGGCTAGTTATTTAACTTCTGTCTGCCTCAGTTTCCTCAACAATAAAACAGGAATAATAATAGGTAGTACCTACCTCCCAGGGTTGTGAGGATAAAATGAAATAATATTTGTAAAGCACTGAGCACAGTGCCTGGCACGTAATAGGCACTTAACAAATGCTTGTTTCCTTTCTTCTGTCCTTCCCAGGCCAACCTGCTTGGATGCTTCCAGCCCCAAGAAAAAGTATAGATGTAGTGAGAAACTAGGACTTTTAAAGAAGGATACTGTCAAATTAGAAAATTCTAGGGTCACAACCAGGATAGTGTGGGATCTTAAGATGGTGTCATATAAAGATTTATTGAAGGAACTGGGGTTGTTTAGCCTGGAAAGAAAATAAAGGAGACATCCTCACATGTTTGAAGGTCTGTCACTTGGAAAAGGAATTAGATTTGTTTTGCGTGGCCCAAGAGGACTGAATTAGGAGCAATTATGGAAAGTTGGATAAATAAATACAAAGTTCCTCCCTCATTCAACCTGTAATTGAAACTCCTATTAATCAATACAAATCACCGGTAACTCTACAGGTTAGAGTACGTATTCTTAGTTTTTTAAACAGTTTTGATAACTGCATTTCGATATAATTGGTTTCCTTTATAATCATTTGCATTTTGTTTTATGCACTGTGGTGAGTAAAATGAAACTGAGGCCAAAAAAAAGGTTGGATAAATAGATTTCAACTTAATGTAAGGACAAACTTTCTAATAATTAGAGCTGTCTCAGTGTGGAAAGGACTGCCCTCAGGGAGAGTGGGCAGGTTAGAGGTCCTCAAACAGAGGCCAGAGAGGCATGTTGCTGTTGTGTAGTGGGGATTCCTTTACATATAAAGGTTAGATAAACTTTGAAGTCCCTTCTAATCTGAGATCTTATAAGAAATGACTAGCGAAGGTAGGATGAGGATTTCTGAGAGAGAATGCCTGTAATGACCTAATGACCTCTACTCCTCCTTTGCATAGAGATCTACTCCGGATCGGCGTCACTCTAGCTGGACACCAGAAGAAAATACTATCAAGCGTCCAACACATGAGATCACAGGCCAAGCCTGCAGCCCCAGGAGGGGCAGGAGGACCAGCACCCCAGTACTGATCCCCATTTCTTCTGCTGCTCCTCCCCAGGAGCTCACATCCCTGGAACAATCCCAGGAACCCAGGATTCCTAACCTGTTCTTCCCCAGCAGAGTTGAGGTGCCACCATACTCCTTAACCCTGCTGGATTGCACTTTGAACCCATGGGGGATGGAACTTTGGAGAGACCAGATTTGGGGATTCAGTCACATGGGAGTGTTCGAGGAGAGTTCGTGGAGCACATATCCACTTCTCCCAGGATCTCCCAGGCTTTCCTTCAGAACTGGTTATCGCTTGAGGGAAAGGAAACAAAAGTTATCCAATCTCCAGTCTCTTAACTCTTGCTCTCCACCCTATGGTTGGGAGAGAGGGGTGAGCATAGCTCCCTTTCAGGGTCCTTCTCATCATTGAACAGGACTCCTCAGGTGCTTCTCTCCCACCCCTAAGAGGCCATACTCCACACAGACCAAAGAGAGGACAGAGAGACAGTCCCATGATATCAGAAGTGGAATGATGTCGCAGGAGGCGGGAGTCAACTGTGAACATGTTGGTGTTGCATATGACATCATTTTCCTGGCTGTTTTGTTATCCTCCTAGAAGTGATATCGTCACCCCACTTCATGTTTTTTACCCTGTAAATGCCCCTACCCCACATCTGCTGCCTTCATATTGAAGGTTTTTTGTTTTTTTGTTTCATCTTTCTGTTTCTTCCCAGTTCTTGTCACAACCTGATGTCTCAGGGGACCTGTCTCCTTTGTTGTTCCTCTTTGTATGCCCAGACTGGGATAGGAGGTTACAGTGTACCTGCCTGATCTCTTGAACAGTACATTTGTCACAGCCCATCCTCCCAAGATGGGGCATCTCATTCTGGTCTTGCCTTATAAAGGGATTACCAGAAGAGGACAATGGGGAAGGGTTGAAGGGAAGGGCCCTGGCTGACAGAAGTTCCTTGGAGGGGTTCTTAAATTATAAAGATGTTGAGGGTGTTTTTTGTTTTTTGTATAAATAAAAGAAAACTAAGGAAATGGTGGACTCTGGGCTGACTTGGAATCACTGGATTCCAAGAGGATTAGTGTCAGGAAAGTGAATAAGAGTTGAATGAGGAACAGGGAAGAATTAAGGGCTAAACGTGGGTCCTTGAAGTTACTGGGCCAGAGAAGAAAGAACAGGAGCCTCATTTGTGAGCGTTTGGGGATGAGAATCTGCTAGGGAAGTAGAATGCTTGGGTTCCAAGCCCCAGGGTATTTGGGTTTGTGTGAATGAGTCATTGGCAGCTGCTCCTGAAGGCTCCAGTTCCTGCCAAGAGCCCTGGGCATCTCCGGGGTGGGGCCATCTTTCCCTCCTCCCCAGGCTGCCCCTGTCCCAGCAGGCGTCCTGTGAGAGAAGGGAGGAGAAATGCAGGGCCTAGCAGTCCAATTTAGCAGGCCCTGAGGGGAGGGGAAGGGGAATTTGGGGGGGACCCAGTCTAGAGTGGGGGGTTCAGGCAGCAGGGAAGACAGCTGTAGTCCAGATGTTGACAGCTGGGCTTTGCTGCAGAGGAAGGAGCAAAAGGGGTGAAATGAGAGGGGTGGAGTTTACCGTTATAAGGGAAGGCAGGGGAAACTAAGGAGTGGGGGTGGTAGTAGAAGACCTTGATCCCTGTTCTATCTTCCTGAGCTGTTCTTACCCTACCCGCTTGGGTCTAGGAGCATGATTTTATTCAGGAGGAAACCTTGGCTGATCCTCCCAGCCAATGATGAAGAGAGGAGGAAACCTGTCTGGAGGTTTCTTCTATTTTATTCTCCCCTCCCCTAGTTCTGCTCTGATCAGGCAGACAAAGTGGGGGCCATTCCCACTTTAGCATTTTCTTTTTCTGTCTCTCCTTACTTCTATCGCTGATAACTGACTTTGTTTCTAAGCGTTTTCTCTTGTTCTGTAGCTCTGCCTTTGTCTCTATCTCTCTCACTCCTTTTTGTATCCAGAGCTACGCTGACATTTGGGAATGGATCCCACTGATGAAGAAGGCCTTTGGGGAAGCCTGGGGAGGGGCAGGGCAGCGACTGTGAAGGTAATTGAGCTGTGGAGTCCCACTGCCATTTTTGCATCAAGGATGCCCCCTTGTGGTGTGTTAGGGCAACCCTAAATGCCCTTCCCTTCCAGGCATACTGACTGCTCCACAATTTTCCTCTCCACATATACACGTCCATTCTTTTAACCCAGGTATCTTTCAGCTACCCTTCCCACAGCCCCATTTTCCCCCTACAAAGATAAAATAACATTTGAGTCCCTGGTGAAAAGTGAAAGTCATACATGAAGGAAAACACAAGATAGAGAAATTATCCACACAGGGAAGCTGGGCCCAGTGAAGACTAGGTATCCTGGAAAAGTGGATGGAACGTAGGACTGGGCATCAAAAACAGCTGAGTTCAAGTCCTGATTCAGCCACTCACTAGCTGCTTTTAACTTTTCTGAGCCTCAGTTTCCTCAACTGAAAATGAAGATAATAATATCTACTTCTTAGTGTTGTTGTGATGATCAAATATGTGTTATATGTGAAGTTCTTTGCAATTGTCAAAGGGCTATATAAACGTGAGCTATTATTATGTATCCAGGCTGCTAGAAATTTGGTGCTAGAGGCCTCTTCCCTTTCTCTTTTCCTCTGAGTACATGACTCAGTCAGAAAGTCAAGGAGGAATCTAGAGGAGAAAGAAGGAGCAAGGGGTAGTGATCAAGGGTAGGAAGGCAGAGCACTTGTCCATGGATCAGTCTCTTGTCTCATCAGTGATGGTGGTACAGTGGTAGGCAGGAGAAACTTCCCAGGCTTCTATGTATATGCAGTCCACTTTAATTCCAAAGTAACCTTCCTGCCTCAGCCTCAAAGTGGGCTGCTTCTTGGGGCCAAGAGGAAGGAGAGCCAAATAAGGCTAGATGGCTGGGCTGTGGGAACCCCATTCTCCCCATTCTCTATCAGACTCATCTTCACTGAGGAAGAGGGATACTTCATCTAGAGTGGGGATTCGTAACCAGGGGTCCACCGCCCCAAAAAGGTCAATTTAAGGGAGTACATGAACTTAGATAGAAAAACAATTATATTCATACTTTCACTAATCTCTAACTGAACTTTATAATTTCCTTCAATTATGAGTGAATGCAACAAAAGTTTTTCTGAGAAGGGGGTCCATAATCAATTGGCTTCACTAGACTTCCAAAAGGGTCCATGACATTTAAAAAAAAAAAAGGTTAAGAACCACTACCTTAAAGGCTTAGAATTGGTAACTCTTGGAAAGGAATATGGAGAATAAAGGTGAAGGTATCTTCTAATATCCAGGTGTTTCGCCTCCCTCATATCCAGATTTCCTCTCTTCCCAAGGTCCCCTCCATTCTTGGCGTAGCTAACCCAACTTGGATTTACACTGGCATACCTAAGGTTCCCAGAGACAGTCATAACTATCATGTCACTACTCTCAAGGTTCTAGGGACAACCTTAGTGAGTATGTGTGTGGGGAGAAGACCTTTTACTATTCGGCACAACACATGAACCCCCAAGAAATTGGTCACCATGACGCTATTGTCTTAAACATGAAACATTTACTGAATAATAAAGTAAAAACAAAAATAATAACAAACAATCGCTAGACATCAAAAGCAGGAATAATCAAGACATCAACCCATCCATAAATTTGGGTCACAATCAATCAATAAACATTTATTAAGTGACCATTAGGGCACTAGGGCAGCTAGGTGGCACAGTGGATAGAGCACTAGGCTTGTAATCAGGAAGACTCATCTTCATGAGTTCAAATCTGGCCTCGGACACTTACTAGGTGTATAACCCTGGGCTTGTCACTTCACCCTGTTTGCCTCAGTTCTTCATCTAGAAAATGAGCTGGAGAAGGAAATGGTAAACCATTGCAGTATCTTTGCTAAGAAAACCCCAAATGGGGTCATGAAGAGTCAGATGTAATTCAACAACAAAGTGGTCATTATTATTTTTATTGTTTATGTTATATATTTTTTTAATATAATATGTCAGGCACTGTGCTAAGCACTGGGGATACAAAAAGAGGCAAGAGGGGCAGTTAGGTGGCACAGTGGATAGAGCACCGGCCCTGAAGTCAGGAGGACCTGAGTTCAAATCCAGCCTCAGACCAAACACTTGACACGTACTAGCTGTGTGACCTTGGGCAAGTCACTTAACCCTGATTGCCTCACTGAAAAAAATAAAATAAAATAAAAATAAAAAAAGAGGCAAGAGACAGTCTCTGCCTTCAAGGACCTTATAACCTAACATACAAACAAATATATAAAAAGCAAGTGATATACAGGATAAATAGGAACTAACTGGAACTAAGAAGAATTGTAGAAGTCTTCTTGTAGAAGGTGGGATTTTAGTTATGAATGAAGACAGCAAAAGGTTTCTGAGAAGGTGATCCATGGTCAATTGGCTTCATCAGATTTCCAAAGGGGTCCACAACGTGAAAAAAAAAAAGGTTATGGACCACTGCCCTAGAGACTTGAGTGTTGGTAGGTCTAGGAAAGGAATATGGAGATTAAAGATGAAGATAACCTCCTAATACCCAATTGGCCCTTAGTTGGCACTTAAAGAAAGCCAGAGAGGTCAGTAGTCAGAGCAGGGGAGGGAGAGCATTCCAGGCATGGGAAACCTAGAGATGGAGTGTCATGCAGTGTCTGTAAGGGAGAGTGGAAGTGCTTAAAGAAACCTATCAGGGAGACCCAAGTGGGGAAATCCTGAGTGCTCAGGGCAACTCACGACTCTGGACTGCTGGCTTTGATTGTCTTTAGTTCCTTCAGAAACAATCTGCATGACACAAAGCTGGTTGGCTCCTAGCTGCTCCTGTTCTGGTGATACTCATTCATTGCTCTCACGCCAATCAGCAAGGCCGTTCCTCTCTGCCAATCAGAAAGTTCCCAGCAAAACCTCTGAAGCTGTCTTGGAAGTCTTCAATGTTTTCTGTACCTTTTTTTTGGTGACTGTTTACACTCCCCTTACTCTCCTGTATCTCTTCCTATAACTTCTTTTCCGGGATTCTTAACAGTTGCTAATGCCTCAAATCAGAGGCTCCTAGTGTAATGAATCATCTTTAGGAGATGACACTCAAAAAAATCCTTCTGAGAAAAGGGGACACAGTGGATAGATCATGGGAGCCTCAAGGTAAGAAGTTGTTGTTTAGTCAATTAGTATCCAACTCTTTGTGGCCCCATTTGATATTTTCTTGGCAGAGATACTGGAATGGTTTGCCATTTTCTTCTTCAGCTCGTTATACAGATGAGCAAACTGAGGCAAACAGGGTTAAGTGACTTGCCCAGGGTCACAAAGCTAGTAAATATCTGAGGCCAGATTTGAACTCAAGAAGATGAGTCTTCAGGCCCAGCACTCTATCCGCTGTACTATGTAGCTGCCCCTAGTGCCTTGTTGAATGAATGCTTTTTTGTCCCCCTGAAAGATATGAATTCAATAGCACATATATAATTTTCCTCACACTCTCCAAACACTTAATTGGTTTGTAATATTTTCGGTTATAAACTTCAAAACTCTAAAATAGTCATATACAAATAAGCTGATGGACCACAATGGCCTGTAGCCATATTTATCTCAGTCCTTGGTCTACATTCAAACAGGTCCTTTCAGTAGTTCATCTGTGAGGGCAATTCTCTATCTAGTCTTCAGAATGATCAGTGTCTCTCCTCAACACTTAATCTGTTCCTCACAAGCTGATTTTTATCTTTTTTTCTTACACCAATGTTCTTTTTCTGGCTTTTTCTTTTTTTTTAATGGTAATTTTTATTTATTTTTTTTGTTTTCAACATTTACTTCCACAAGACTTTGAGTTCCAAATTTTCACCCCATATCGCCTCTCCCTCACCCCAAGATGGCATGCATTCTAAATACCCATTCCCCTAGTCTGCCTTCCCTTCTATCTCTCCCCCCCTTCTCTTATCCCCTTCCGCTTCAATTTTCCTGTAGGGCAGGATAGATTTCTGTACCCCATTTCCTGTATTTCTTATTTCCCAGTTGCATGTGAAA